CTGTATGCGTATGAAATTCATGCCATGACTGCAGCGATGTCACACGTTCCCCCAATCCTGAGATCTGAGATTTACAATCGAAATTTTTTTTTTTTTCTTCTATTATAGTTTTATTGCAGCTTTTGTCGTTGACTCTATAGCGCATGTATAAATAATTGATATTTATATCGATTATATTTAATATTTTGATGGACAGTCTATTCGTATTTTTCAGCTTTCAAATGATCTGTCATCCCCTAATAAAGCTGGCATCTATATACATTCGTTTCGCCATTTAAGTAGTTTTGCAGAATCATACAATATCCCTTATAATGTATTTCATATTTAAATACAAGTATTCAGAAAGCTGAAATTTTTCTTCAAAAACAAATATGTCGATTATAAGATATACTGATATAGAGGGGTGCCTTAAAAAAGAAGAATATTCCCAAATATATGTTTAAACTTTCAATCTTCGATTTTCTGATACTCAAACATCATCACCGCTAAGATCATTCCATTTTTAATGAGCTTTGCGTACAAGTGAACATGAAACAATAACTTGTATCTATATAAACAACATTTATTTTTATTCTTACAAAATAACTTAAGATTAGCAATTAAATTTCTTTACATTGAGCGATATGCAGAGACTTCTTGAGACAGCCGAGAATGCATCGAAGCAAAGCTCCTTCAGTTGACCATCACGAAATCGTTGCACTTGGCTGGCAAGACGGAGGGAAATGCTTGCTGCGAGTTCTGCCAGTCGAGGGCCGTTTGAGCTGGAGTCACAGTCGCCAGTGGCTGTGGTGCTGCAACCACTTGGGGGCTGGTGGTGGTGGTCACCACGACGGGAGATCCGCGCCTTCGTCCATTCAGTGCGACAGCCGCTGGACCCGAGGTGGGCACCACAACGAGATTGCGCTCCATCGCGCGCTGGCAGCGACGGCAGGGACGGCCCCAGGCCCAAGGTCGCACCACATGGAGCAGTCCGCGACGATGATAGCACTCGCACTGAATATTAACCTGCTGCACCGTCGTCATCTTGCTCGAGTGTCTGTTAGCTAACTGATGTCTAGCTGCCTCGAGCTGCTTGCATTTATAGTGGACGGGATTTTCGAGTGTTATCATCGCTATCAGCTATCTCTCTTGTTGTAATCTCTCACTTGTGCTATCAATAGTTGGCAATTTGCTGTGATTCATGGCGTATCAGTGATAAGAGGTCGTGTGGCGCCCAATGATTCAGCGTGGGGGCCACGGCTAGAGCTCTGCGCCCTTGAGAACGCAGCGCAGCGAGTGGAAGGCGCTTGCACACCCCACACACGTTTCGAAATGAGCACTCAAGCACTTGCCAGAACGAGATAGCGATAGAAGATAAGGGTCTCTCTGCAGGCGTTCTCTGATTACTCGGATATCGCAATTGTTTGCATATTTGAAGACAATCAAACAAGGTAAGAACTATTGTAGACAAATTTGAGTGCATATATATTAGAGATTATTTTTATACTCTACTCCAAATGGATGTTCATGATAATTTATATGGAGCTCATATAACAGTAATTATGTATGTATTCTTGCAGACGGAGAAGGACAGTGAAGTGTAAGATTATCCGCCCTTTTCACTGTCCGTCTGTCCAATGTGATTTCGGCCGTAGACGAAGTTTCAGTATCAGTATTTCATAGTCAGCTGCAGATTTCTTGCTAGTTTGAAGCTAATTCAGATAGATAGTGGCTAGCTTGATATTTTGGATGTATATATATTACATGGAGCTGACATATTGTTTAGGGATTAAAGACTTGTTTTACAGTTTTCAATCTTCTTCTAGTATAATAAAGCTCACGTTCGGCTGTAACCATTTTCTTTCTTCGTCTCTCTATCTCTATCTCTCTCCCTCTCTCTCTCCCTCTCTCGCTCTAATCTCTCTCTCGTTCTCTTCTCTATATGCCTGTGAGGTGATATGCCTCAGAACGTGAATAGCATAGACCCTCATATATATCAGTTGCTGTTGATCATGTTCGAGGAGAATACAGTAATATTTCTCCTATTGGATCTAGTAAAATAAATGAGGTCTTCATGGTATCTGAATTTCCCCAATCTGAAGAACAGGGCAAAAACTCTATATCTACGCATTGACATGACAGAATGTTAAAAATTATGGGCGTGGCTAATTGAAATTAATTTTGATAAACCCATCGTATATAGTAGATCAATAATGTCAAATATTTAAAAGAATAAGGTATTTCAGTGTTTCCCAGCTGAACCTTATTTTATTATTGTTGAAAATTTGAGGAAAAGCTATATATATATTTCATTTTTGAAGCTAATTAAACAGTCATTGCCGTTAGATCAAAGTTGACTTCTTCAGGATCAGTTATAATAAAGTCAGTTCATAGACCCCATGGGAAACCTTTAAACATGCATTAAATACAATAATTTATATAGTAAAAGTCGCAATCTTGACAAATTACAGCTTGTAAGAATTACGGACTAGCTAGTTAGTCCTAGTGACAAAAAATGAGTAAAAAGATTAAATTTTCATTTGAAAGAAAAATGTATTTATTTAGTTTTCCAATTCAGATGAAATATTTTTGTAAGCTCTATATAATTCAATATCCCAATATTCCTTCGCTCCGTTGACTCAGCTAATGACCAATGTTTCATTATAGGCGGGCGGCAATGTTTGCTGTGTGGTGACCACCCGTTGCACCTGTTGCACCTGCTGCACCTGTTGCACTGGCACCGTCTGTGTCGTTGTTGTGGAGACCACAACTGGGGATCGGTTCGTGATGGCGGGAGTCACTGAGACGGCAGCTGCACCCTGGGTGGGCACGACGACCACGTTGCGCTCCATCATGCGCTGGCAGCGACGACACGGACGACCCCAAGCCCAGGGCTTGAGCAGAAAGAGCGGTCCATGATGGTGGGGGCACTCGCACTGTATGTTCACCTGCTGTATCTCTGCCATATTGCTCGCTTGTCGTTCGTTTCGGGACTGAATTCAAAACAGTCTCGACTCTTGAATTTATAACACAAAGATAATTTATCGCTAGCTCCTTATCAGTTCATATTCTAATCCTGTTGTGTATCTTATCAGGAAAATGCCTTCATGATGGATCTAGCTAGTAGTGATTCATATGCCTAACTGGGGGCAGCCTTGCTGCAGTTTCTCTGACTCATGGGTATCTTAGAGGCATAGCCCGAGTAGCATCTATCATGCCCAACTCCGGCTCGTATTGAGTCATAAAAGATTCTTTAACCTAATCAGATTTCGATCACTTACATAATTTGGTAGTCAATAGCTGTTATCAAAGACTTTACACCTTAAGGTCTTATCGACACTCATTTTACTATCTAGCTATCCGAGCTATATCAACAAAAGGCTTTACATACCTTAACATGTTTTCTGATTGTTGCCCCAATCAAGTTTGTTTTGCGCAAGATCAATTCATGTCACATTAATAAATACATCAGAGCTTCACAGACTCACACAACATCATAACTGCCTAAGGAACATTCCCAAAAATATAAATATGGTAAGAGTTGGGCTAATTTTCCGCAAGCAATTCTTTAATAATGCATTATCTACATAGAATTCAAGCGTCGAGATCATTGCTGAGTTCGATTCCCGCGAAAGGAATTTCTCTTCAGGTATGTCTCAAATAATATTAAGATACATACAAATAATAAATCTAAATAAATAACATATCTAACATTTCTTTGCAGAGGACGGGAAATGGAAATACATTTTGGAAATGGAAGAACGTAAAATTCGGATGAAGAACTGGAGTGGACTGAATCGGATTCGTCGAGTTCGACTTCTTCAAAATCTCATCATTTTCGTTCCGATTTGCAGCTTCATAGCGGATCACACATGTATATGAATATTTAGATGGCTCGAAATCAAAGTTCGTTTAATAAAAGGGATATAATGTAGCAAAAATATAATATAGTTTCGTTAAATATTATATAATAAAAATACAAATTGTCTCTATTTTTCATTTATGATAATATCACGTAGAGATTTCAAATAACATTTAAGAAAACGTATTTTGTATAGTAGTATGAAGACTGTGAAGAGAAGATGATCTCTGCAAAACACACTCATGCATGGAGTCTTTAAAATTTAGGTAAAAGTTAAAGAAAAAGAGAATAGAAGTAACCTCTGAATACTATTGGAGCATCAACTGCATGTTATGTTATTCCAGCCAATCAAAATAAGCGAGTTTCACAGTAGTTCAATGCTGTCTTCATTGAGGCCACACGCTTGAAATAAAAAGAGTTCACAAAAAAGATCATGTGCGCCAAGCCATTTGAGTGTGGGAGAGAGTGCCTATTAAGCCAGCCAATCACACGAGTGCTCGGTGAGCGTGTGTGTGAGAGAGAGCAGACGCCGATGCTCAGCCTGCTGCTCAGTGCACAGCTTATAAAATGCGTGAGAACAGTGCGAACAATGTGTGTAAGAGCAGAGCAGAAAACGATCAACTCTGCACGATTGAAAGAAGAAGAACTGAAGCCAAGAGACGAACTCGCGCAAGCGCTAGCTGCGCAAGCAGTGCAGACTGAGTAACAGAGCTTCATGTATTGTGCTCACGATTGAAAGAAGAAGACAAATGATTACTGCAAGGGACTGCATATTAGAGCTGGGCTGCATTTGAAGCTGGGAGTTGGCGGTGGGAAGTTGGTGTAGGCGAAGTGGGTTTTCTATGTATGTGTAAGTTCGTTTGTATGTATATTTTTATGTATGTGTGTTAGTAAAGAATAAAATGGCAATTACAGCCGCCAAATTAAATTTTTATAACAATTAATTTATATACCTTACTATACCAGCTACAGGTATAATTTTATTTAATTAATTAATTTTATGCTAATTATGCAGGAGCTTACACCCGAAACAAAAGTAGCCCTAACATCAATGGCAGAATTTTAAAATAAAGCAAAACACATATTAAAGCTAATTCAAATAAATAAAATTTAATAATGCCATTAAAGCAATTGTCGCATTGGTCAAAAGCTTTTAATAATATTAAACACAATTTAGTCACAACTTTTACATAACTTTTCACATTTATGCGAATGACAAATAACAAATAGAAACTTTCGTTTTGTTTGGTTGTGTTAGTCATATAATTTCAATTAATAAAAAATAAATACGATATTTTGTTGTTGTTCTACATTTGAAGGCGAATTCAATGCGCGCTTGTTACCAACAGGGCCGCTGTTGCTCCACAATGACGACTTCCTCGCGTGGTCGACGCCCGCCGATGTTGAACTCGATGAGTGGTCGACTGGGTCGCACCACATCCACCTCAACCATGGGTGGCGGTGGTTGGTAGACGGCCGCTGGTTGGATCACCTCAACACATTCCGGTCTGTAGGAGGGATAGCGCGAGCCGACATCGATCTCAACAACGGGGCGTGGCAGACGTGGTGGCACAATGTCCACCTCCACAATGGGACGTCCATGATGATGATGGTGGTGATGGCGGCGCTCGTCGTCGTAGTAAGACATGATTCCTTGGTTAAATATCGCTCTGAATATCCTTGGGTCTCGTTGTAGCGCCTGCTCTGGCGATTCTTCGTTAACTAAACCACTTTCGCAACTGCTCAACATATTTAAGCAGACAGTTCGCAGGTGGGTACTTTTTTTCTGTGTGTAATTGGGAGCTTAGTTCGCTATCTTGTCAGGTGGTCTTAGCCTGCTTTCGATAAACATTTGACAAACAACTTCCAGTGCGGTCGCATAATGGACAGAAGCGAAAAATCCCAAATTACGAATTGCAACAAATTTTGCAAATTTAGAAATGTGAATCAGGTTATTTAAGTTGTTTTAGAAATATATAATATATTTATTTTTATATATGTACACATATTTATTATTATAATTATTTTTTTTATTATTTCTTAACTATCCCATATTATCATATATCCTATGATTTACATATCATCGATAAGCATTAAAAGAATTCGATTTCCAGAAACCACAAAACAAAAGAAAAAGTGTCAACAATAATAATTATACAATTAAATGGCGTGTTCCTTTAAAAACGGGTGCAAAACATGATAAGATACGATATATACGTCTTATATATGTATATGTAGATATACCCATTTGTCATTGCTACAAATGATTAACACAAATTTTCTATACTCTGAGTCAGGCTCAGGTTGAAATGCTTTGCAGAAGAAGGCGTGGCAGGCATAATAAAGTATATGCTTGTTGAGGTTGAAGAGCTAAGGTAATCAGAGACAGATCAATTTGACTAGATTACTCCAAAGTATTCTCAGATCAAGTCTGATATCACTATCAACACTTTTTATCTTAAAATGTTTTTTTTCATTATTTTATATAGTAAGAATCAAGTTATTTTATAGTGAAGACATTTTATTTATATATGGACTACAATAGGCTACCATTTTGATAAAAACTCTGTTCGAAATGGAATTCAGGGTATTAATAGGTATGCTCTAGTCAGACACATCTACTTGATAAATCAAGCTAGATAATGAAATACTGAAATTTATTGCGTAGCTGCCGTTTCTTATTGTTGCTTGCATTCCAAAATCATTTAGTGGTCAAAGGTCGAGTACATTAAAAGGTCTTCAAAATATCATGTATATAAAAAAAAAAACAATTAATAGAGAACACTAAAATCAATAATATGCTTATTATATATATAATATTTATAATATATATATTTAGTCGTCATATACACAAAACATAAACCTACTACGCTTTCATTGAATTATAGAAGAGTTGTAGAAATTCCTTAATCATTATGTTTCTTGAAATAATGGATTACGTTTTGGGCCTAAAATTATGTTATAACAATTGATTTCTTATATCATATAGTAGCTTTGTGTATATTATACATATAACTATCATAGATAATTCGAACTTAAAAAGTTACACCTTAAAGCTTTTTTTTTGCTCACCTGAACTCTACATATGTACATTCTGTTTGCGTTATCTTCTATAGCCCTCAAAAATATATTTAATTAAATTCTATTTAGACTTTAGACTGTAAATTGTATGAGTAAACAGAAAATATAATACATATTGAGAAAATAGAAAATATAAGAAATATATATATAACATATCTTTGATTTGTTTAGTGCAGTTTCAGCTTATGAAGCTCATCTAGTTCTTAACTCAAAGTTTTACTCATGGGAGTTTATTGGCCTTACTAAATTTTTAACCTAAATCTAAAAATTGACTATGACCTTCTATATGATATATGTTCACATTTGGCCTATACTTTTAATTTGCATTATTCTATCCGCTATAATCGTTATACAGACCGACAGTAAAAAAACGAATACATATATCAATACAATAATATTTGACTGTTTAATAATTGCAAATTATAGATTCATTGTTTTTCGACAGTGCGCAAATAAGGTAATTCACATAGTTTTCGATAATTTAGGATTCCAATTAGTGATCCATCTACCACTGAGGATAGGGTGGATTATTGGTGTGGGAATATGGCTGTTGGTATTGATAGCTCTGCTGCTGCATCTGCTGCTGCTGCTGGTAGTAGCCCGTCGTGGCCACGGACATGCCGCCGTAAGGCTGTGGCATCATCATCGGAGCAGCAACTGGTGCTGGCGGTGGTGGGGGCATGTAGGCGGGCGCCTGATTGACTACGACGACTTCGGGCCTAGCAATCGGCGCCGGATAATATGCGCCACCCCAGCCGGAGATAACATCAATCTCGATATCTATTCAAAAGTTTACACAAATTATTATTATGGCTATGCTCTAGCGTTCTACTAGTTCTGCTCGGGCTCACTTGGACGATGATGGCGATGATGATAGCCAAAGCGATATGAATCTTCATAGTACACCCGCATGGCTCCAGTCTTTGCGCCTGTGCTGCCTCGAGCAACACTTTTCCTCTACTGAATCTTATCGTCGGCCGGACGACTCTATTTCGCAGTCAACTAACTTCCAGTGCAGTTGTGGCCCATCAATCAGCTCAGAGCTTATTTGGCATTTTCATTCCAGTTGGCAGATAAGCGCACAGCAATCGCGCACTGCTGTGGTTAGTCATCTTCACTCAACCACAATCGACTGATAGCATATATGGCCGATAAGTCGAGGGGGGCTTGTATCATAGAGTCACTTGTTTAGGGAAGCCAAAAAGTCTAGTACTTTCCCGTTTTATTTGCCATGTTTATATAATTATCTAATTGACTTGGCAAGTTTTTGTTTTTATTGCGTCGAGATTTTAGCTTCCTTGAAAGCTGATCCAAAATATATTTAATCTGATTTCAATTTATATTTACGCAAAAGTATTTCTAGGAGCACTAAAATAATAAAAATAATTTTAAATGATAATTTTATAATAAATAAAAAAGATAAAATATAAAAAAGGGTGTACTAAAATAATAATAATAATTTTAAATGACGATTGGAAAATAAATAAAAAAATAAAAAAGGGTGCACTAAAATAATAATAATAATAATTTTAAATGATAATTCTAAAATAAATAAAAAAAGGGTGCACTAAAATAATAATAATAATTTTCAAATTTTATTCTAAAATAAATAAAAAAAAAACAATAAAAAATAGATAAAAAATTAATATATATATATATTTTTTTTTTTAATAGAAAATATTATTACATTCCAATTAAAATTTTGTTTTTTTTTTATATTCTTAAATATTTAAAGCTTTGACAATTTTAAATAAAAACTTATTGTCTATATAGCTTGACTTTGTAATTTTGTATCGTTTTGACGTCATGTATTTATTGGGCAATAAATAATCATTCAAAAAAAAATCGTTAGCAGTTATTACCTCAAGAAGCTACCGATTCTGTCATCAGCGGACTTTGCCATCGACTATCGATAGTCGCAATAATTGATGATAATAATGATAATAATGCTGATGATATGTAAATAGAAATGATCAAGAAATAGTTTACAAATATTTCTAAAAATTGAAAGGTTAATATTAGAGACTCTATTACATTATATAAAATGTTCATGCTCTGATTTATTACTATTATTGCTGATATTCCACTAATCCATCCACTTGAAATTTCTGATTGCCCCCTTGAAAAGCGTGTCACGCAAACGTCCTTCAAGAAATGACCTCGTGGGGCATTTCGCATAACTTAAAGAGCAACCCTCGTTATAGTTTTATGTTTAGCTTTATCATGTACTATTCAGTCTCCAGCTAAACTATTTTCCCAGCTAAGCTACAGCCAGCTAATTAGCCTGATCAGTGCCTCGATAATCAATGTTTACGAGCCACAGCTGGCATTAGGCTTATCGCATGGCCGTCGACGACATAGATAACGAAATTGAACACACATTTTCTGATAAGCTATATTAAATATACATATACATATGTAGTTTATTTATTTTTTATTTATTTTGCGGTGTATCGAAAGTTCAGGTGTTTGCTTTTGTCTATGAAATATTTTTGTGCGCTGCGTAAATTCAACGAAAATGTCCTTCGGCCTCGTCTAGTAGCGGGGTGGTGGATTGTGGTAGTGGTTGTCGGCGGGTGGGTAGTAGGCTGGCGGTGGCGGCTGTGGTGGCTGCTGCTGCTGGACTACAACCACATTGGCGGGTCTGGCCGGTGGTGGCGCCTGCTGCACCACAACGACGGGCGCTGGTCGTGGTGGCGGTGGTGGCGCCTGCACCACCACAACATTGTTATGATGATGGCGACGCGGCCAGCGTGGTGCGATCTGCACATTGATGATGGGTCCACGACGTGGTGGACCACCGCAACGATCACCGGGAGCCATTTTGTTTTTGATTCAAAGAGCGAAAACTAGATTTTTTCTAGATTTTTTGTAGAGATAGAAAAGACGTCTCAGTGCGTTCGCTTAAATTGGTCAACTGAAATGAAAGCTAGAGCGTTACTCGAATTTTGGTATTGACAGAGAAAGAATAAAAGCTTTTTTCACATATAGCAATTTATTACTCATACGCAGAGTGTGCTTTACGACCAGTGAGAGAGAGAGAGAGTTGAAGAGAGCGAGAGAGAGCGCGTAAAGTATTTATAGCTCTTCTTATCTATATGCCATCGACTTTTTTCGATTGATTATATTTTATCATTTACAATTTATTGCCCAACTATTGAAAATTGCAAAGTGTTTGAGATCTTTAACCAATGGAATTTGTAGATTTAGCTATGCTTTGGGCTAGTCTGTTGAGTCATTGGAACTTGGACTATACTCAATTCCTACCAAGGTGAACATACATGAGTCATATACGATATTATTGGCTTACCAATTTTGATTTTATAATGATAACTTGCTGTTTATAGAGCGATACTATAAGAATAGTATATGTATATGAAGCAACGATAAAAAAAAATTGAGCTGAGATATCTTATTGCATTAATTTTAATTTTATATATGTATATGTCGGATATATTTGCAGATAAGATAATTTTGTGGATATTTTGTTTATTTATATTTTTATTTTAATTAATTTAATTTAAATTTATTTTTTTTTTATATATTTTATTTTATTTTATTTTATTTTATTTTATTTTATTTTATTTTATTTTATTTTAT